GATGGGCTTGCACGGGGGGCGTGGCGGCGGGCGGGAGGCGGCGAAAGAAAAGGCGGACAGAGATAGTATTATATGCAAATGTAATGCAGGAGCGAGAAGGCAACACTTGATGTGCACACAAAGTCTGAACGGATTTTGAATGGCAAACAAGCGGCAAAGCGAGCGCGGCTGCAACTGCAACTGCGGCAGAGGCAGAGGCAAAAGCAGAGGCAGCGGCAGCGGCAGCGGCGGGCACAAATATAAAGCCCAGCCCAGGGTAATGCCAAACCGAGCTAGCCAAGCCGGGTCCGGGTCCGGGAAATGGGTCCCGGCGAACGGGTCCGGGTGAACGGGTCTACTGCAACTAAGTAAGCACACTGAGAACCCATTGAAAAATTAAAAAGTATTCTTTGAAACCATGCAAAACACTCCAAGAACCGTATAAGCCAAAGGAGTAGTCACAGTTTGAAACCCAAATATTTCGAAACCTTTTTTTACTTTCGGTGAGAAACATTTTATAAGTGTCTGTGCTTAGAATGGTATTTCAGTTCTTAAGATTTTGTTTTGAGTTTTTTCACGATGCATAATAATATTGATTTAGACTTAAGATCAGCTTCAAATTCCACAAGATTAATATATAGTATTATTGTTTGGCCTATTTGTTGGATTGCAAACCACTTAATTTTAGATTTAAGTGTTTGTGTTGCATCCAATTTCTGCCAATATAATAAACTTTTTTTTATAATTAGATTTTAAATAGCACCAAATTAAGCGAGTGTCCGACTCTAAAGATAATTTCGAAAGAAATTTCCCTTAAAAGAACATTTTCAAACCATTTCTCGCAATGTAAGCTTTAAAAAGTAGACCATCTCCAATGAAGCGTTTTAATCTTGATGTTTGACGGCTCTTTTTCGCCCAGTGTGTGACTGGGATAGACCGTGAATGGGCGCTGACGACTTGCGCATGAATGGCCCAAGTGTGCTGGGGATTCAAGGGGGGCTTAGGAGGGGGTTCAGGGGGTTGGGCCGGGGATATACTATATAGAGAGCGAGCGGATAGACAGACGAAGGCCTATAGAAAAGTGACGTGCGCTTTACAATTATTTCGTAATGCAAGCAAATGTGACCGAGCTGAGCAGAGTATAGAAAAACGAAAAGCGGCAATAGAAGCTCGGTACACTAAAAAAAAGGGGTTCCGATTAAAGTGGATTTTCTTTGATTGATTGGTTGGCGAAATATGCCAAGAAAACATTGTTATATCATCTGATATCTGAAAATAAAATTCTTCTCCCACAATTTCATTTCATTTCAAAATTTTACTGGTTATTTAGGTTTTTTTTTAAAGCACTAGTTTATAATCCTGTTCAATTTTATAATTAAATGAGCCAGCTTAATTAAAAGCAGCATTTTCCTGAGTTAAAGGAATATTACCATTTTAGAGATAAACCTCAAACCTCCCATTAGTATCAACTGAAAATCAGTGAATATCTACAGTGAAAATACTCCCATTCTATTCACAAATGATGTGGGCTGCCAGAAACTAAGGATTTATATGCGTAATTCCAGAACATTCTGCTTGCAAATTTACGCATTCGCATTATTGTTCCGTTCCGACGAGGATCAGCACACAGATTTATTTCTCGGAGTGCAGATTAGAGTTGCGTCTTAGGCTCCGAGTGTGCGGGAGACAAATGTCAGTCGGTGGTTGCTCTACTAATCGGACATGTTGCGTTGACTTGTTTATGACTCTGGGCTTAGCAGCCGCACACTAAACCACTCAGCCATCCAACCACCCAACCACCCAACCACCTAAACACCCAACCACCCACCAAGAATGAATTGTCTGAGGGGGCGAACTTGTGGGAAATCTGTAAATAGCTGCGAAAACTGCATAAGCCGGCTGGTGGAGGCCCAAAGCCTGGGGATATGGATAGACAAAGGCAAATGTCATCAAAGTTGGCACCCGCGGGAAACCGAATGAGAAGCCCGAGGAACATAAAACAATTGACGAGGGACACCACTGCGTATGCGTAATCTTGTGCAATTTGTTCAGCTGAACTCTTTAAACTGCGTACTACAACGTTCATCGCTCGTCGTTCAGCGTTGACTTTGACACTTTCCCAACGACCCGATCCCCCTCCCCGCGACGGCTTTCCATTCGGGTTTCCCTGACTTGGTTTCTAGTTTTCTATTTTGTTCGCAATTACGCGTCACACAGCTGGACGACACAGCCAATGCAAAACCAGAGCCTCACTGCACAGATTTGCAGTGTGGGACAAGGTCGCATTTATTTGGTGCACTTGCAATTGGCCAGAGGTGTGGCAGAGGGGGGTTGCAAGGGGGGACTGTGTCGTGCTGCGACCGAAGGTCACCTGCCGTGCGCCCCATGCCCACAGACAATGTTGCCAGTTCGAAATTATTATGAAATGAATACAAATATTTGCGGATCGGTCAGCGGCGTCATCCTTCAATTGATGTGAGGCAGGGGGCCTTTTCAACGGGTGCAGTGGGTTGCGTTGGGTGGCAGGGAGGCGACCAGGTTGACAAAGTGCAAGGCGAAATGTGATGGATGATCTCAGCGGTGAATTCGAACGGAAACCTCAAGTTGCAACGATGCTAATAATGTGTTTGCTACTTTGCTGCATGATTTCGCAGGAACTTATTCAAGTTGCATGATTTCTTACGAATTTCATTTCATCCAGGTTGCGGGATTTCTTGAAAGTCTTGAGATTTTGAACATATATATAATCTTTTTTTAAAAGCAATAAATTAAAGGAGGATAAAAGTGGTAACATAAATACATAAAATGCTTTTGTCACCTTTTTTAAATAAAACCAGATAACTTATTCACTTCTACCAATGATTATGACTAAAGATAACTTCTCTGAATCAAATAAAATTATATGATATACGGACTCTCGAATTCGAAAGAAACTTTTAACTTTCGTTTAAATCTGAGCGACGTTTAGATTTAAATGAAATCTCTTGAAATTGTTACGTTACTGCTCAAAAAATATCCCAGCCATTTATCAGATATTTTTTATTGTCTCTACTTTTCCATGAAGATTGATTATTTGCAAAAGGCAAAGGCCTAAATCGAAGCCAAGCGGAGAAACAGGAAAATTCCAAACATTGATTAATGACAAATTTTTTGGCATCGTCTAACGTGCAAAAAGTTTTGGATTTCCTGTCGAGCTGCAATTCGAGGCCTATTTTCAACGGGAAAACTGTGCAAGCCCAGGTCGAAACGGTTCTGCAGTGCTGTTACTTTGTGTCTTTTTGCCCCACCTTACCCAACACCCACCCGCCAGCCACCACCCACCCATCCATCCATTTCCCGCCCAACCGCCAACCAGGCCGCTTTCCAGCTGTTGTTGTTGACGCTTCTTCCGTTCTTTGGTTTAGTTTTTCTTTCAGCTTACTTTACGCTTTTGTTGCTGCCGCTGTTGCATTTGTTGCTGCACATTTTATTAACATTTTCATTTAGTTGTGCTCTCTATCTCTCTCTCCCTCTCTGTCGCTCTCTCTCTGCCTGCGCCTTGTTTTATTTCGCTTTTCATTGCAATTTGTGTTCCTATGCATTTTTGTGTGTGTTTTACATTCGTTTTCGTGTCGCCAGCAACATAGCCTCCAACTGCATTTGCCACGCCCCCTTTCCTCCCGGCGGACGACCACCCAATGACCCACCACCCACTATCCAGCACCCACCACCCCCCTCTTGGCCCGGTCCACTTCCCTTTATGCCACTGTTGCGCTCTTTTTGCAGTTTGTTGAAGTTTTCATAATCATTGTCGTCGTCGTCGGCGCTTTTCCTACTGCCGCTCTTACTGCCACTGCCACTGCAACTGTTACTGTATCCACACCGCCTACTTTCGTTTCGGGCACAGCCTTTGCCTTTTGTTTTCCACACGCTTTCCCTGGGGAAAAGCCTATTTCCATTCGGCGCTCAGCTTGCCGGCAAGAAAAGTTCATAAGTTCATGTTAAGATGGTTTATTGCCTAATTTTCTTTATTTACTATTTTAATTCCTTAAGAGTTCTTTGCGAAACATGTAAGAAAAAGTTTGCTTCCACTGGGCTTTTTGCAAATCGCAATCCAATCTTATTGTTCTTAAATACAAATTTTTGATAAAAATTAAAAGATTTTTTTACAAATAATGTTATATAAGTAACTTTATCGAACATAGTAATCCCTTTTAAATTTAAAGCAACACCTAGCTTAATCTAATTTAAAGTAACTTAAGGAATTGTTTATAGGTTGTATGCTAAAGGCTAAAGCCAATTAAAAACCCTTTACAAATTAATTAAGAACTGAAATATGCGTAACTACACTCAAAACATTGGCTCAGGTAAAACCTTTATTAAAAGGAGTTTTAGGTTTCTTCAAATTAATTTTTAAACATGACAAGAAGTGCATCGCAGCAGTCTCCTAATTAGGGCCATGTTACTACCGTCTTTTTTGTTGTTATATAAGCCGGTGCAGCGGCGGGCTGGAAAGTGGGTGAGGTGGGTGAAGCGGGTGAAGTGGGTGAGGTGGAGGGGGGAGGAACAAACGAGACAGGGTGGAGAAAAACGGGAGTGGGTGGGTGAGATTTCCAGCATGAAAACAATGCCGGGAAAGCGGCTTATTTTCTATGATTTAAATAATGATGAAGACGGCAGACGGCAGACAACAGGCAGTGGCGGCGGCGGCCACCGCAACTGGAACTGCAAGTGCCACCGCTGATGATGATTGAGATAATGGTAATAATGATGAGGGCGGGAATAATGGGCTAACTGGCAGACCTGCGACAATGCAAGCCACCTTGGCTTGGCCAAAGTAAAGAAGGCATCTGAGCCAGCTTGCCGGACGTTGGAGCTGATAAAAGATCGCTCAGCTCCCCGTTTGTTTGTTAGTTTGTTGCTTTTGGCTTTGCCTTCGGCCAGCCCATAACATTTATCTAATTTTTTGCTCGTGCCTCGTACATATAGCTAATGCCTCATTTATCTTATACTTCCCTTCTCTCGACTCTTTCTCGTTGCAGAAAAATGTTCATTGGCGGCCTCAGTTGGCAGACAAGTCCAGGTGAGTGAAAAACGAGATAAGTGAAAATTAGTGGATCTCTGCTAAAAATTGACTCGTCTCTCTGATAAAAGAGGTCAATTAGCAGACGAGTTAAGTGGCAATCCTGCGCTAACAAGCGACCAGGAAATGTGGAAATCAAAAACAAACTTGCGGTGGAGGTGGAAAAAAATGTCTAAAGTTAAGAATTATTAATAGAAAAATGGGTTATGAAAAGGTTAACATAAAATGTTAGCATAAAATGTTAATTAAAAATTCAAAAAACTTATATTCTTCGAAACGAAATTAAATATATGAAAGGAATTAAAAATGTGATTCTTAGGTAAAATATTTTCATACATCTTTTTTATACCAAAGTCAGACAGTTATCTCTACTTTGTTTATTTTGTTTTTATAAATGTTAATTTTAATGCTCATCTTAAGAAATGTAGTTACCCTAAAATCTTTTTGTGATACAAGGACTTCAACGATTCTTTATATTTCCTAAAGAACTTACAATGACTTCTTAAACATTTTGTTTTTGTTAATTAACTGATTGCTACTTTGTCTGCTTTGAAACATAGTTACCCCAAACAAATTCCCTCTCCCACTCCCTTTCGATTTCTCAGCAGATTTCTCAACATCTGGAGATGTGTGTACATCTGTGTGTAACTGAATTTTGTATCTCAATTTGAATGGCCTAGGAATCGAATCGGTTTCAGTTTGTGTTTTATGTGATTTCACATCGACAACAATGTACCGAAAGGCGGGGCTTTGTTTAAATTGGAAATTGTAATTGATCGAATGCTTGAGATTTGCTCCCTTTTTCGAATTTGAATTTGACGTCAATTGCGGAACGACTTGAGATGCGAGAACTGCGGGCCGGGAACTGATTCTCGGGGAGATTCCCCCCACTGCCAGCCGCATAGTTTCATTAGGCTAATCAAAAGGCAACTTGCCATCAAAGCCCGGCATGCATATTAACCGAATTTGGATGGCACTCGAAAAAAGGTCGGCAAAGTAGAGATTGCAACCGTCTGGCAAGATGCGCTTGCCTTTTGGGAGCCCTTATACGAGTATGTAGTATCTGCAGTGCTTACAAAAAGCCAAAAACAAAAAAAAAAAGAAGAAAAAAGTCAGGAAAATAGAAGGAAAACCCCATATAGCACACACATACCATATATCGCCGCTTTGTGTTGTTGCTTGGGCGCGCTTGTTTTTTGTTTAGCGAAATTGTTGGCTCCGCCCATCATCAGAGTGCCACTCGGCATTACGCTAACATATTATAACCTATAGTGCATATCCACACACAGCCATGTCGGATATTCACGTACACTGCCGCTCAACTGAATAGGTTCATGATCTCAGAGGAAGTAATTTGTCTATAATTCCTAAACCAGTGAACCGATTTCCATAATTTTTTTTTTCTTTAACTCTTGAATCAATTTATAATAAAATGCTGAAGAAGGTTTTTCAAAAACATATTATTTATTCCTTATATAATTTTTCTTCTGAAAGGTTAACCAAATTCATGATTTTTTTTTGGGTCATCTGAATAGGTTCAACCTAAAACAATTAACATTATTTAGGTAACCAAGGATAATATTCATATTTTTTGAACTTAGCTGATACTAATGAACATTTTTGAAGTACATTTTACTAATTTTAATCAAAAGTGAACCCTCCGTTGTCCGATATAACATCAAATACACGATCGGGAAGCGAGCTATACAAATTGTGCAGTATTTGCAGTGAAATGGTTGTCCAGGCTATTTTAATTGCCTTAACTAAAGTTGTTTTGCAAGAAAATTACCTGCCTCCTTCATATATCTTGCGCGATAGCAACCCCCATACGATTTCGATTATATTAAGGTCAGGTGAATATGGGGGCCATTCAAGTAAGTCCACATTTTGAGCCTTAATCCACTCTTTTACCACCCTAGCTGTATGATGGGAGCGTTATCCTGCTGGTAAGACCATTTGATAAAGTGAAAAGTATTTAAAAAATCAGGAAACGCAGCCTTTATGATAGATTTTTAGGTTTCCGCGCTCATTTTGCAAGTAACAAATTAAAGGTCGCAAGTGCCAAAGACTGATACCGACCCCCACACCATTACCCCACCCTCACAGCTATGTCGACGGCTATGGAAATGCTCTTCCTTTCGAAGATCGTGATAATAATAGTTGTAGCTATTGATTTACGCTTCTAAATTAAATTGATTTTGGTGTGGGGGTCGGTATCAGTCTTTGGCACTTGCGACCTTTAATTTGTTACTTGCAAAATGAGCGCGGAAACCTAAAAATCTATCATAAAGGCTGCGTTTCCTGATTTTTTAAATACTTTTCACTTTATCAAATGGTCTTACCAGCAGGATAACGCTCCCATCATACAGCTAGGGTGGTAAAAGAGTGGATTAAGGCTCAAAATGTGGACTTACTTGAATGGCCCCCATATTCACCTGACCTTAATATAATCGAAATCGTATGGGGGTTGCTATCGCGCAAGATATATGAAGGAGGCAGGTAATTTTCTTGCAAAACAACTTTAGTTAAGGCAATTAAAATAGCCTGGACAACCATTTCACTGCAAATACTGCACAATTTGTATAGCTCGCTTCCCGATCGTGTATTTGATGTTATATCGGACAACGGAGGGTTCACTTTTGATTAAAATTAGTAAAATGTACTTCAAAAATGTTCATTAGTATCAGCTAAGTTCAAAAATATGAATATTATCCTTGGTTACCTAAATAATGTTAATTGTTTTAGGTTGAACCTATTCAGATGACCCAAAAAAAATCATGAATTTGGTTAACCTTTCAGAAGAAAAATTATATAAGGAATAAATAATATGTTTTTGAAAAACCTTCTTCAGCATTTTATTATAAATTGATTCAAGAGTTAAAGAAAAAAAATTATGGAAATCGGTTCACTGGTTTAGGAATTATAGACAAATTACTTCCTCTGAGATCATGAACCTATTCAGTTGAGCGGCAGTGTATATAGTTGAAGAGTCAATGCGGTCTTTGGTTTGTCTCTTTATTTTAGCCTTTCTCAATGCTTGCCTCGTTCTCGTGTTTTTCCCCCCTCCCTCGATTTTTTTTTTGATTTTTTTTCGGGGGGCGGAAGGGGGCCAGTTTCCTGTACCTGTGCCAAAAAATTTTCAAATTTTCAAATGGCTTCTTCAATACGAATGCCCCCCTCCTCGTTGGCCATTCGGTATGAGTGTGTTTTTGCTCGGCTCTTTTGTTATCTTTGCCATTTGGGTGTCCGATGTGTGTGTCTTATTTCTTTTTTAATTTTTATTTTCGCTTCTTGGCAGCCGCCAGTTGGCCCCATGGAGCTGGTAAATTAGGCAAAAGCCAAAGGCCCACAGAAACTCTGCAAAGGGCCAAAAACGAATCGCTTCGAGTGTAAAAAATTGTCTTTCGTGGAATTCGAGACGGAGCAGAAGTCAATTGCAATGGAAATTGCCCCGAAGGGTCAATGAGTGGCACGTGAGTCGATCAAAAAACTCAAGGATGGCTTAAATTGTTTTTAAATTTCTAGTTTATCGTTTGTGGCTTTACTTCGGCTTGTAAAGGTATATTTGTTTAAATAAAATAATAGCTTCCTTTAACTATTTAAAAAACACTCCTTTTGTAGTACTCAATTATTAAATGTTTCTTGTACACATTATTATCATTGTTATTAAATTGATAAGGAAATACAAACCATGCCTTTTCGTGGGTATGCAAAGAAAGTTTACTTTAGAACAATTACCATTTGTAAATCCGAGATTCATGTGTACAGTAAAGTAAACCAATAAAAGCCAGTGAAGAACGTCCGAAAATGAAGCGTCTTTGCTTTATTTTGTGTCCAGAAGAAAGCAAACAATTCAATTAGCTGCCATTTGAGCGCAAGGAAGCAAGCTTTTGCCCCAGTCCGAGCTTGTCTATTTCTTTCTTGGCCTCTTCATCTCACCTCCCCAACTTTTAGGCACTACTAGACGTATTATTGTTAGTGTTGTTGTGCGGCTGTTGAGCGGCCAAGTTGCAGCTCTGAAGCTGAAGGAAGAGGCCGGAACACCAGAGCACCAGAACAGAGCGCCCGGCTCAAGTAGCTTCCACTTCCACTCGCAGGAGAAGCTTATGCTTTGGATTTTTCGCAGCTATCGCCACTCGAGCACACAATCGCACACACAGCAGAGGTCCGATTACTAGTACTGGAAAGGCAGTAAATATTTAGGAATAATTTATGGAGATTACAATTTTAAATATTATTGGAAACTAAAGCTATAATGCATAATTATCAAATTTCATATTTAATTAAAATCATTTCCAAAAGTATTAAGTATTTTAAGTAAAAAAATGTTCAAAAGTTTTTTTTATTGATTTTAGACAATTTACAATATCACTTTTATAAAAACTAAAATTGGCTATTTATATATAAGACTTTTTAGTTCAATTTTATACCTATTTATTTTTTTTATAAATTTCGATTTGAAAATTATGAGTGGCTCCTCGTCCAGCAAGGCGTTTATAATTTGCTGCTATTCCAGTGACCCCTGCTGTTTCTACACATGCCCAGCGTCTCCTCCCGCACAGTACACACTCGAAATGTGCTGACAAAGACCTAATCTAGGGCGTCTATAAACATGCGCTCGGGTCTAGCGCATAACGTATAAAGTACAGCGAACAGGGTCTAACGGCATAGTTAGGCTGCTTTGGACAGGTCCGACTTTCGGCCGGGATATGAAGCCGAAGCCGAAGCCAAAGCCCAAGCAGAAGCTGAGTCTGAGTCTGCCGACTGTCGACTGCGTACGTGTTGATAACTGCAGAGATGACGTGGAAAAAGAAGGGGTTTTAAGGGGGAGGAGGGAAGGGGGGGGATTGTGGAAGGGGGCGCATCCGCATTGCAGTTGGAGGGGAACACTCACGAGCGTTTGACTCTAGCTGGGCCGAGATTTTTAATGATTGGCACGATTGTCTTAGCTACTTAATGACATTCTCGAGTGCTGCGAACCGCCCCCGATAGGTGGCGCCTTTGTGCCGCTTTCGTGTCAACTAGCAAGTCGTACAAACGCTCGTATAACTTAATGAACTCTGCCGTCTGCCGTCTGCTGTGGGCCGTCTGCTGTCGTTCTAGTCCAGGCCAGCCTTCTCCTCCTTCCAAGGAAATCATCCAGCAAGGCGGCGTAATTTAATTTTAATTTCGCAAGCAGTTTGCTGGAAGTAATTGTATGCATTGAAAAGCGTATTTGCTGCTATCGCCTGGAAACACTCGTCGTCGCCCGATTCGAACTCGACTTGGCATCCCGCAGCAAAGTCGCAGTCAGAGTAACCCATTCATCTACTATATATGTGCATATGGATATGGATGGATATATGGATGTGTCTGGATGAAAGGCCGTCGCTGGCTTTTTGTTTCTCCGCGTCTCCTCCTCGTGATTTGTGTCAACTTTAACAACATTTTTGAAACACAATACGCGACCCGCTCCGCGTTTTGCTATTTTCGCTGTGCGTTCGACTGAAATACTATTTATATATGCACCAAAGATACAGCCAAAGATACAGCAACAGCTACGGCTACAGATACATTTGCATCTGCCGAACGGTAGGGTAAGGCACATTACTTATGCAACAAATAACCAAATAAAGGGGCAGCAAAAACATCCAGGAAAGTGAATTGATCCAAAAAAGCGTGGAAGACAAAAAGCAAGTAGAATCCATGCATGCATATCGCTCACATTTCGATGCCGCTTAGCGATAAAAAGCGCCACCAGACTCTCCCCGAGATACTTTGAGCAAATAAATATGCATTTCTCGATTTACCCCTCCCCTGGCCTCCTATTATTACTATTATTGTTTGTCTGTCTGTTTGTTTGTTTGTTTGCCAGCTTGTGTCATGCAAATGAAAATGAAGCCAGCTCCAAGCTGCAAGCTCCGAGCTCCAAGGAGCGCTTCTGTTTGCGCCGAGCATTATGGCTGTGTGCACATCCGGGCTTATTTCTCTCGCAGCGCTTCTCCTTTGACGCCGCCAAATTGTCCAGGTAGAGTCAATAGATGGCTGAAAAGAGCTCAAAAGGCTGGGCCAAACAGCGCCGGGGATTGTCTATCATGTGTCGAGGGTCATGGAAACGGGGCCAAGCGAACCTTTTTTTGCGAGTGGGTCTAGGATACATATTCAAAATTAAGACCCTTTTTCAAAAAAAAAAAAAAACAGTTTTACAATTCAAAATGCTTGGGAATTAATTGATCTTTTATATAACTTTTAAAGACATTTTTATACCATTGCAGAGCAAACGGTATTATAATTTCAGTCAGAAGTTTGCAAAAGGAGACACCTCAGACCCCATGAATTATATACAATATATTCTTGATCAGCATCACCATCTGAATCGGGATACGTCTGTATGTCTATCCGTCTGTCTGATTATCTTCAAACTTGTCTCTCAGTTTTAAAGCTATCTTGCTGAAACTTTCCCAAAAGTTGTGTAGTATATAAGTCGGAACTATATTCGATAGCTCCCATACGAGAGATTGATATCTGATTTCTTGTAGATGGGGTTCTTCAACAACTATCGAATTTCGAATTAAATTTTATGAAAATCGGATAACTATACCATATAGATTACTATAGATTATAGATTACTATACCATTAGATTTCATAAAAATCAACTATATCATATAGCTGTCATGTAAGCAATCGTCAAAATGTAGAAACTGCAGAGAAAGATCGGCATAGCTTCGATGTTGCTATGCCTTTATCTATTTTGTTCGACATATTAGATGACTGCAAGGGTATATAAATCAGCTTCCTTCCTTGGCTTTCTATTTGCCCTGCGCGGCAACACTGTCATTAATTGCCATTGGTAACTCCTTTTTGCACTTTGCTTATCGCTGCCTGGCTTTTTTGTTGGATTGGGTACTCGCTTGCAGAAGGCACGGTCGCTGATCGCCTGCCTGTTCCTTTCGCTTATATACTTTCGCTTTTTAAAAAGGCACAGAAAAATCGGTCTCCCTGCCCAACTTACTTTTACTTGTTCAAAAGGCACAGACAAATCGGTCTGCCTGCCTAACCAACCCTAAAAAAACATTAACTTTGTACATTTAAGGCCTTGGTGCCAGTTAAATAAATAAGTGTACATTTAAACGAAATTTGTGCGGCTTATTTTATTTGGGCAACACCACAGTTAATGGTTAATGAAAAAGCTCATTGACCCAACATATTTTATAAAATCAATGAGTGTTATCATGCTTTAAGCTCTGATTGTTTTTTTTTACGAACTAATGGTGGCTTTTTCGATGAGCTTTTGTTGATAACACCTATCAGTCTTATTCCAAATGCTCATCGGACTTAGGTAAATAGATCCAGAATCAGTTCTGTTTAAACTTTCGCGTGGTTCTCTGGTTATTCGGAATTAATATGTTGAAGTCGACCACTTACTGGTTAGTTTTGTTCCTTTCTTGGCACTCTTACGGATCCTTGGCCAAGGACTCTTCGGTGTGTCTTTTGCACGACCAGCCAAACCAATGTGGAGCATTCTGCCTGCAGGCGCTAAGGCCGATGATCGATCACATGGCTTTTCACCAGAGGAAGCTGAATGAGACCCAAGCGAAGCTGGACAGAGTGGAGGGTCAGCTATCTAAGCTGGACAGAATGGAGGGTCAGCTATCTAAGCTGGACAAAATGGAGGGTCAGCTATCTAAGCTGGACAACCTGCAGACAAAACTGGAGGCGATTGAAAGACAACTGTCAGCGATGCAAGAATTACCATCCAAAGCGAAAAAGGAACCCATAAGACAACTGTCAGCGATGCAAGAATTACCATCCAAAGCGAAAAAGGAACCCATAAATACGCATCCGTACGTTCGGATTGGCTCGAAATGGATTTACGTCGAACGCGAAAATCGTCGAAATTGGGAGGAAGCTGAAGCGTTCTGCCGTGGGATAAACGGTCACCTGATCACAATCCAGAACAACTCCGAGCTGAGCGCTCTGTATGAAAAGTTGGATAAATACACTGACTACTGGCTGGGGATCAATGACGTGGCCAAGGAGGGCGAGTTTGTGTCCGTGGCTTCCGGCAAGCCAGCTCCCTTTCTCAATTGGGAACACAACCAACCCGATAACCGGAACGGAAATGAAAACTGCGTGACTATTCGTCTCGGCCAAATGTGCGACCTCGACTGTAGTTATATATTTTTTTTCATTTGCGAGGCGACATTTTATTAAAAGAAATTGTGTGGTTATAATAAAAAGATTATCCAGGAATAAACATAAAAAGCGTTCTAGTTATGTTAAAATTTTATGGAAACCAACGAAATCCCTTAAACTTAAAAAACAACAAATAGTAATTGAGAGTTTTTTCTTCATTGGAAGTGAAAACAGACAATTGCACATACTTTCTACAATTCCTGTGTCAAGTTGATAACCCCGCTACCCAAAGCTACAGATTTCTAAAGCCTTATCACCAATACCTGCCGTTTCATCGTAATTCTTGAGATAAACCCTCTGACATTGTTTTAAAAGCAGTTGCCTTCGGCGGTTGAAGACTCATTCGCAACATGCTATTTTTCCATATGCTATGATTTTTAATCAAACTTAATCCATATTTAAAACATAAAAATTAGCAGTAGTGATTTGCTTGTTTTCAGCTCCCGCTCAAGCAATTTAATCTGAGTCGCCAATCCACAGAATTTTCGGCACTGAAAAGTGATTCAGATTTTCAAGTATTAACTTATTACAGTATCAGAATTTTAGACTCGTGTGATTATTTATTTATATAAAACATATTACAAATTTGCAGAAAATAAAACAAATGAAATGTTCAGCATCCTCGCAAACGCTGTCGTGCATTTCTGAGCTGTACAAACTGACGCAGCGATCGTTGTTGTTGAAGTTGTTCGGCTGTGTCGCTCGCCACTTGAAGTGGCCTTCCGGTGGCCACCGAGACGAACTGGCCCTGCTCGGCCAGGTCAGAAAGGCCCAGCCAGTAGGGAGTGTTCCTCTTCAGTTTACCCTCCAAGGCAGCGAGCTCCGCCTCGTTCTGGATGGTGGCCAGGTGACCGCCCATCTGGAGGCAGGCTTCCTCAGCCAGGCTCCACTTCTGGCGACTGTTGTTCCCCACGTAGAGCAGCCGGTCCGCGATCCGCTCGAACTTGCTGTACTGAAGGTTTTTGTTGGCCTTGGACAGGGCTTCCGCAATGCCTGCCAGCTGGCCTCCAATGCGATCCAATTTCGCCTGCAGGACCTTCGAAGCAGCCTCCTTCTGCTTCAGCAACTTCTCGAAGTTCGCCAGGCCAGCCGGCTCCCTGACTGTGCACGGATGTCTTCCAAGTATCCACACTGGCCTCCAGCGAGGACTCGAGCTTGGACAGGGCTTCCTGCACCGCCGAAAATTGAAATGAAAAAAATTTCATTAAAATCCGACAACGTTATCGTATAGCTGTCATAGGAAAAATCGAAATAACTCCGTTGTTTTTAGTCCCACGAGCATGGTTTTCGGAATATAGATTTTCTAACGACTCTTGAATTACGAATTAAATTTCATCAAAATCGGACGACTATATTATATAGCTGCCATATGAACAAAAGTCAAAAATGTGGAAAATTAATAGAAAAATCGTCATAGCTTCGATGTTGTTTTGCCTTTATGTATTTTGTTCGACATATTTGATTACTGCAAGGGTATATACATAAGCTTCGGCTTGCCGAAGCTAGCTTCCTTTCTTGTTTTGACTTAAAGATCTTAAATTTTTTCAAAACAGTTAAATTCAAATATGTTAAAATGAATATCAATTGCATTTATTAGTTTATTTTTCAGACTAGTAGCTTATTGGATTTATTAACTTTATTTATTATGTTTTTGATTTATAGCAATTGTTTGTATGTCGCGATTAGAATGTAATTAGAAATATGTATACTTAGCTCTTTTTAAATTGTAAAAAGTTGTAATAAATTATAGTGCCTGGTTTTGGTTATAACACATCTTTAAATTCGTGCCAAAAACTGGCTTAAAGGTAGTTGCATTTTTTGGCCCATCAATCACACCGACCGGTAATAGAGCACTTAAGAAACGGTTTAGTGCGAAAACCATTTACGCGCAGCAATTAAAGTTTCAGCAAACACTCCAAACTAGATTTGCGCCACTCTATAACTCTTCGATTCGACAACTAATACTGGCAGTCGATTGCCACCCTCCAGTTGCAATTCAATCAGGAAACAAACGATGATGAAAAATATTTTTGCCACTGGTTTTAAAATCTAAAATTTGTGGAATTTTGGGGCACACTCCCCTTTGGGGCGACCTCAGGATGCAGACAAAGGGGCGTGGCGGGGGCGTGTCACCTTCGCCGTCATCATCGCTGTCGTTGCCTCGTTCGATTTCCTGATTAATTTATGCCACTCGACGACGAAGGCAGTTAGCAACAATTTGCCGCAAGCAGAAGCGTCAAATTGAAATGGCCGAGCTTGGCAAGCGAAAAAACGGACGAGAAGAAATAAAATTGTCAATAAAATAAGTGCCGGACGGTTGCTCGCTGCTGCCCCTTTTCCTCCCCTTTCTTCAAAATACCCCCCCATTTCTACTATCCCAATCGCAATCCCACACCCAATCGCATTCCCATTCCCATTCCCATTCCGATTCCGAATCCCATGCCCTTTCCCTATTTCGCAGGCAGTCACTCAGTGCGTCCATCAGTCAAAGTTCAGTGCTTCCCTTTCTTCACATTGAATTTGCCGTGCAACATTTCCTGTTTCTTTCGCAGCCGCTGACTGTCACCCTCTTGCTCTTTTCCCTACACAATGCGAAATAATGATCAATTACTACAGCTGAAATAATTCAGAAAAGCCTGATTGTTAATAAACAAATACCATAATGAAAAGATTATAAAAAGTTTCTTTATTATGTCAAAGAAATCTATTTCTCTTACATTCGATTGTATATGAATTTTAAGCTCTATATGATTCTAAATAAAATTGTGTGTCTTATGATAAGCAATTCAAAGTATCGTATATATATTACATATGGGTGATTCCATATCAGATTTACAGTCGATATTGGGAAATTCGATGAGATATTTTTTTCATGCTCTTTATTGAAAATAAATCGACACGTATTTTTTTATTTGGCTCAGAAAATTTTTTGACAAAGTTATGATTTTTTGAATTTTTGATGAACTGCCTTTTTTGATGACAGTCGCGTTTTCCAGCCCCAATAACTCGAAAACCGTACGTCGCAGAAAAAAAATGAATAGGAAGTAAAAATTTCATCCTTCCTTCTTCTTTGCAAAACTTTCGTGAAAAAATTTTTTAAACAATTTTTCACCACAAAAAGTTCAAATGTTTATAACAAATTCATTTTTCTCCAACTTGGACATTTTTGATTTTTTTTTTTTCACAATAAATCCTTCAATTTCTTCTGATGAACATACTAAAATTTCAGAATGGGATCAAAATTAGTTTTTAAGTTATAGAATTTTAAAGATTATCATGCACGGTCCGCGCGTCAATTCGCTTTGCGCGCGCATAGTAAGGGTCAATAAAATGAATTTTTAATGCTATTTAATTCTATAACTCAAAAACTAATTTTGATCCCATTCTGAAATTTTAGTATGTTCATCAGAAGAAATTGAAGGATTTATTGTGAAAAAAAAAAAAAATCAAAAATGTCCAAGTTGGAGAAAAATGAATTTGTTATAAACATTTGAACTTTTTGTGGTGAAAAATTGTTTAAAAAATTTTTTCACGAAAGTTTTGCAAAGAAGAAGGAAGGATGAAATTTTTACTTCCTATTCATTTTTTTTCTGCGACGTACGGTTTTCGAGTTATTGGGGCTGGAAAACGCGACTGTCATCAAAAAAAGGGCAGTTCATCAAAAATTCAAAAAATCATAACTTTGTCAAAAAAATTTTCTGAGCCAAATAAAAAAATACGTGTCGATTTATTTTCAATAAAGAGCATGAAAAAAAATATCTCATCGAATTTCCCGATATCGACTGTAAATCTGATATGGAATCACCCATATGCTTTTGCTATTGTAAAGAAACTTATTTAAAATGCATTCCATCAATTTTTCAATTTTGTAAAGTTTCTTCAACATTTAGTTTTTCCTGGTATGGACCGATTTGCAATACACCTACTTTTTATTTCGGTGTGCATTCGTTTTTTAACCACAACCCCCGCTGTATCTGCGCTGATGTTTTTGCAGCTCGCTTCATATTCTTTTGAATGTGATTATCCTGAGGCTGTGGCCACCGCATCTTGGCTCCGATAGAATGGTTTGTCGCACTCCGACCATCCGCCTGCGTTCGCTTTTGCATCGCATTTAATGTCCTGCCAGTTGGCCAATGGCTTCTCATCCCTGCGCTTCTATTCCATCCCCCCTTTCCCCTCCCCCCTTTCTGCTTTCTCCTTCCCCTGTCCTGTCTACAGTTTCGCTGTTTTGTTGACTTTGGCACGAGTTTGGTTAAAAAGTTCACACATGCCGCACACTCTGTCTCGTTTTTCAGCTGCACAGCTGCGGTCAGAATAACAGCAGTGCAGGCCAAGTTTTCGAGGTTCCCTCGAATGTTTTTATTTAAGAGTTTAAGTACAATATTGTGCTTAATTAAACTGAATTTACTTTTGCTTGAAATAATTTCATTTTATTGTGGTAAAGTAAATTATAAATATGTACCTACAAAACAAAAGGCATCAAATAATGTATGCAAATAATAATGCATCTGGAATTTTGTTTTTAAATATGAAGAAATCTGTGACAGAAAAAAAGTATTTTGTACTACAAATAAAATCAATTTAAATCTCTAAAATCTTTATTTTTAATAAATAATAAATAATAATGTATCTCGAATTTTGTTTTTAAATATGAAGAAATCTGTGACAGAAAAATAGTATTTGTACCACAAATAAAATAATTTAAATCGCTAAAATCTTTATTTTTATTATGGTTATATAGAATTCAATGATATCTCACTAAAAGTATTAATTGGTTTTTAATTTTTTATTACACTTTGTATGATATATTCGTTGACTTAAAGAACTGATCCTGGTTGTGCGTGCGAGTGTCCTGGGCTTCCTTCCATGATGTTGCGCCTTTGGCTTTAGCCGTAGACACGTTGTTGTTTCATCTTTCCGCCGCTTTCCCGTGTTGGCTATCAACTTTGGGGGGCGTTGCTGGTTTGAATATTTACACAAGTGACACTGAATATATAGTATATGTGTGTATATATAGACCGACTGGGGCTGCAGGTCTGCAGGACCGCTTCTTGCT